ACATGTTAAGATTCAGATATTTGTCCTTAGCCACACGCAAGACTGGCAGATCCTTCTGTGTCAGACATTAGCGCTAGTATAGTTTAAACGCTAAAGAGATCCAACATGAGGTTTATGAACAGTTGAACCTCTCTTGGTTGTGATTGATCATGTTGGATCTCTATAGAATATGAGCTCGTTCAGATGGGCCAATTAAAATCCTGAACTGATGAATAGCATTGTCACGTGACAAAAAATGAATTATTAATCCACCAATGAAAGTTAGGAGACCACAGTCAACTTGGAATAAGCTTTTTGTTAAAAAAGAATTTAAGTAAATCGACATTGCAGACTTAAGCTTTAAAGTTCTTGGCTTAGAAGGAGCTTTCCACAGACTAAATTCAACCCGATACTTGTCAGCTTAAGAGACCTACAAGCGCGCAGAGGGGGCCGGGATGAGAGGCGTCTCCAGTTAAAGTGACATGGATACATAAAAACATCGATCGAGCGTACCTGAATGATCCACGTATCTGCAATGAGAACCTGTGCTTTAGTGTCCTGGTAAAAAGCAAAGTCGGGCTTTAAGAGGACAATTTATTAATTGAGAATTCTAGTAGACGCGTTTACAGTACAGTGGCGCGTCTCTCCACCGAAAGGGTAGCAGCGGAGAGAATATGTCTTCGTTCGCAAGCCCATGTAAGTTTTGACACCGACTACAACCACCATGATAATGGCGAGGCTGAGAAAAGTATCTTTTATATACCAGTAAAGACAAATACTTTGACCGAGAGACCTTGACAAACTGTGATATTTTGCCAACCGTGTTTAATCTAGTTGTTTTATCATCCAATCGGTATGCATGTTTTTAACATGACACTTTTTTAGAATCCGTTGTTTCAGGCCTCCTTTGGGGACTCTGACCAAACTGCGCACGAAAATAACAGCATTATTTCTTGTTTAATGGTGACGTAATGATCTCTAGCCTGCATGACAGGCGCTTTACGAGCCAAGCGAGGCGAACGCGGCATTTTGCGCGGAGCTCGGGACGCAAAATGCCGCGTTCGCCTCGCTTGGCTCACAAAGCGCCTGTTATACAGGCTAAATGATCTCTAGGCCAATAGAAAACTTTGGTAAAAGAATTGAAGGAAAAAAAACAGGTATTAGCCTTGACTTACTAGGGAAACTACTCTTGACATTCTGTAAGAGAAGGAGACATTAACAGTTTCGTCAGGGTGGAGCACGGGTCGGACGTCATGGTAGTATTTGTCTAGGAGGTCGTGGCGTAATCTTTGCTCAGGGGTCCCGAGGGTCCCGAGGGTAGCTGTGACGGTATCTGAGAAAAACAAGTTAATTAAGCAAAAAGTCTGTTAGTCTCCCAAGGAGCTATTTCTTGTGACGTCATCCGTTGCTTGACGACAAAGAGATGCTGCGTCGGGACACTAATCAGTCTATATTGCTAATTTCGAAAAGGAGTTTATTCGAATACTGGCCAACCTCGTTCCCTGGGTTCTCTCCAACTCGTTCTCCGGAGCGAGAGATAGGAACCTGGGAACAAGATTGTCGTTGAGCTCGTTTGAAGTATGACGGTTGAAATGAAGATATCAAGTTGGGGTTCTTTCAGGATGGCTGCTGCAGTCAAAAACAGGAACTGTTACTGCATGCATCGAGTACAGCATCTAAATAAAACCTTAGCAAAGTTTTTTAAATCAAAAAGGGATTCAAAATTCGTGCTTGAAGACCACTTGAAGCATATCTCAGATATCTCCTCATAAATTCTTCCAGCCTGTAAAAAGACGTCCCCTCGGCTAAACAAAAAAATCAACCGGATAGAGACGTCTGTGAATCCCCGTCTTAAAATCGTGTTTCGGTATACATTTCTCTCTTGATTTCCATAAATTGTTTGTTTTTGTTTTTCTCTCCCCCAGATTTTTTCTGAGGGAAGGGGAGCGTCTGTACACAAGCTAAAATTCTTCTTTTCATTTTCTATTTCGTTTATTCCCTTGCGTTCCTTTCTCCATTTTGACATGCGGAGAATATTACCCACTTATTCTTCTTTAACTTTCGAATTCCATCTATATCAGACGAAAATTTGTTGTTCGTGCTGTTTTCGCTGCTTTCCAAATCCGATTTTGTTTGTCGACAATAGTAATAGGCTTTAGCGTCGCCCCGTGGGTGGATAAGTTTTAATGCCCTAAATGTTAACACGTACACATTTGCATGCAGGACGACACAACCACTGTAGCCTGCGTAGAAGCGTACGTTTCCGCGCGACTTGCTCGCTAAGATCGTTTCTCTACAACTCAGTAACTATTTGTACGGTCAGTGATATTTGCAGTCAAACAGGTTCGAAATAATAGAAGGACAATTTTAATTATTTCTTTTCCTAAACTAATAGCCATCAGGAACTATAAATATAAAGATTGTTGACAAAAATAACAAAATAGCCAACACGAAAAGCTGGACTGGACTCGGCTCGTATCGGTCTGAGCTCACGCCACCAGTTTGGGGGGTGGGGGTGGCGGTTCAGCCTTATCAAACATTCGTCAGAAAAAAAAACGTTGTTCTAATGAAGCTCACTCTTGATTGTTATACGATTGTCTTATTAACCGCAAAAGTAAATTATTCAGTCAATTTGATTCAAATCGACCGTGACCAGCGGCTTAAGTTTTCAAACGTCTCCGACAGGTCAAATATTACCAGATATACATGATGTAACAACATAGTATTTAAAACAGTTTACCTCCAAGGTTTAGTTAAAACCACAAGCACCATGAGCTTTATGAGACGTTCCGTAAAGAAAATGGACAAAATCGATGAAGAGACGGAAACGATTTCAAATTCAGGATTGAAAGAAACATCTGGCCACCTAGACGATGATTTCAGCGAGAACGATATATTATACACAATAGAAATGCTTCAAGCTGAGCTTCATGATGTAGTCGGAGATGTAAGAGAATTGAAGAAAAATATTCAGGTCATCGAAAAGGATACCGAGTCTATAAGGCAGCGGCTTCATGAATGTTCAATGTTTGTTGAACTCGACGTAGAGAAAGATCAAGATAATTTTTGATTCATCGTGGATTGTGTACGGAAACGGAGCAGCACAGGCCAGCCGATCAATATTTTTCGATGTTTGCGTATTTACGAAGCAAGAAATATTGACGATCGAGAGAAAAATCTGGCATAAACTCCAGAACAGAACTCAATGCTAATGATTTTGACTCATAATATTTTGAGCGCCTTGAGCTTTGAATAAACGGACGCGTTTTTACAAAGTAAGACAACACTTAAAATATAAATTGACGTTTTCAAGGGACCCGTGTTTTCGCTTTTGTGTCATGATATGATGTCAAATTTTTCGTTAAAATTCTATTTATTTTGAGATGCTCTTTCCAGCAGTATTGATGACTCAATGGTTACATCGTAAAACCTACATGAAAATTCGTAACAAATTAAAGCTGCTCCTATCCATCAAGCAGGCCAAAGATAGTGCCTAGGATTAAAGACATTGTACTTTTGAGGAGATATTGGATGCTATTTTGACGCACATCGTAAAATAACAAAGGAGAAAAAGAAATGGAGATTATTATTCATCAATTTGCATAACTAACTAGGAGCTCAGTGTATAAAGCTTCTTCCTATTGTGAAACAAAATTATAAAGAAGTGAATGTTGTCTGCGAAGACTGAATTGTTTACAGTAAAAATATCACTTAATGATTAATAAAATTTGCATAAAAGTCGAACAAATTCACAATTATGGCTCTTTTTCTGGCTTTATCTTAAAAAATATTTTTGGACTTCCGTCAAGTATGCATATCCAGTCGATCGATCTTATCACGTATTGGAGACTAATCACGTTTCTAATTGGAAGATGATGGTTTTCGAAATGACTTCGATCACTATCAGGTGGCGGGACCGAGTTGTCCCGGGCTTTCCCAGTGGGAAAAAGAATGATTTTATTGGCCGGTACCTTATTGGCCTGCAGACTGATTTGAAGATCGATGAAGACCATCGAACAGTCATTCGGTCTCCCTCAGACTAAGTACCAGCCTGTGCCAGCCCCCATCAACTCAAACAAAATCGGGTTTAAGAGGAGGGGGCGGCTGTACACAGGCTAACTAACTCAGTACGGGTGAGTTGATTGATAGCCCGTTCTAGGCCTTCTTGTAGAGTGCGGTGCTAAATAGGCTGGCTGATTGATTACTCTAGAAGCCATTTTATCAGCTCACCCCTCCCCCTAGAGCGTGGTTGTAGTACATCCGTTCCATAACACCTTGCGCACCATGCCTTGTAAGAAGATGGGCGAAGGTGCGGTCAGCCTACTAACAACGGTTTCCTCCTAAATACATGGAAAGCACTTTTTAAACTATCCAGAGTACTTTAAGATCTAGCGGCATAAAATTTGTACCTGTCCGGTCATCCTAGGAGAACTTGAAGTTAAAATGTGAAACATTAAGCTTCAGATAATCGTAGGGAACTAAGATAATTTCGGAAAATTATACGTGAAAGGAAATTTTTAGCCTTCCTCAAGTAACAGAAAATTAGGCAATATTTGCTTCTCCGAACAGATATTTTACAGAAAACAATCGTTGAGTGCTCATGAATTTAGCTTTCATGAGAGCTGATGATTCACTGAATCTCAATTACTGACTCTCTCTTGCATAATACTACAAATACCTCAAATACTGATTGTAATAGTGTGCATGATATTATTTATATCGACTTGTAAACGTGATAACATCGTTCAGGGTTGATCGTTTCGTGTATCGATTTGAAAAAGTAGCATCGCTGGTAGCCTCCCGGTACCCAGGCGTTCTTTTGGCTCGTCACGTTGGACCAGAGAACGTCTGCGTGAGAGGCTATAAAGCTGGAAAAGCCTCCCTGAACACAGTAAAGGTAAGAACTGATCAACCTACAAATTCTCCAGTCTGATACTGACCATACATTTCCTTAAGAATTGGTTGAGAGAATTTGATAAAAGATCAAAGCATTTCCCCTTTGGTGATTATTATATTAATTC